CAAAAGATTCAACAATAGACTATTCCTAGTTGTTTCTTCCGTATATGTAATAGTCTCTGTTGGTGTCAGAACTTACTGTTATGTCTTGAAGTCGCTATGTACAATTCCCGTGACTTACTATATTTACTTCAACACTCATTACTCATTTCAACGAATACATTTCAAATATACACCAAGACATATGCTAGCAAAAATAAATTCAATGCCGTGCCTAGGAGATATATTTGAACTGCTAGATTTTCAAAGTAGTAGCGACAAAATTCTTATAATCCAGCGAGTTAAAGTCCTGAAATGCAAATTAGTATGTTAATATTGGTGTCGACACTTGTAGCTCAGATGTTTATAGCTATCAATATGCTCTCATACGTATCAGCATTCGTGAACGATAGTAGAAAAATGACTCCAAAAGTATTCACACAATTTGCTTATGTTCGTGCTAGCTCTCTAGGTGTTACCACATTTTTAAAAGATTTCGTTTTACTAATCAATCAATAAATTAATACCACAATACAAGATAAAGATTGGGTGTAAGTGTGGCTCTTACTTTCATTCACACGCACACGCATACCCTAATTCGATTCATCTCTAAAAATAGTGACATGCGAATGACAATAATCACAATGATGAATTGTTTGATTTCAATTATCAGTTTGCAGAATTAATTATTGCCGCCGATGATATCGTGCCAGATAAGATTTAGCAGAGAGTTTTGTTTCTTTCTATACAACTATTTTTCGTTATCAGTTTATTGTTTATATCAAAATTAGGAAAAATATAGAACAATGTTATACTGACACTTAAAAATGCATTGATATCACGCATTGTATTCAGTTTGTTCACATTTAGTGTCGATTAGAAAAATAGAGCCATTTAATTAAGTTTTATTCATATATATTTATACAATGAAATACAACACAACAACAAGCAACAATGCACTACATAACTGCAAAATTCCTTTTCGCATGATAGAAAAATCCTATTTGGGAAAAATCAACCAAATTATTATTGTTATTCATTAGTCATTTTTTTCTTATTGAACAACTGTATGATGTCTATCAAGATGAACCCTGGTAAGAGTATTTATAAGTGTTTGATTTCGACGAAATAAGTAGTTGCGACGACACATGATACTTATGAACTCACGTCTATATACCTTTCCCGTGAGAATGTATAAGAAGAAGGGTGTGGAATAGAAAAATTGATTCCATAATGAACATATACTAATGATAAAGTAAAAATAGTTCGTTTGCATACTAGATTTGACCACAGCCAATGTATATGTGATACCGATGGGCAAAAAAAAGATGAGATAATCAAGTACTTGCCATAATAACATTTTTGCTAATTGAATTTCAGTACGACGCTGTCGAGCCACACCACCAGCCACCGGTACTACTCG